CCATCTCCCTCTCCCATCTCCCATCTCCCATCTCCCATCTCCCATCTCCCATCTCCCATCTCCCCATCTCCCCTCTCCCATCTCCCCTCTCCCATCTCCCTCTCGGCTCCCCTCTCCTCTCCCGTTCTTCGGCCAATCGTCCCATCTCCCATCTCCCATCTCCCATCTCCCTCTCCCCTCTCCCATCTCCCATCTCCCATCTCCCATCTTCCCATCTCTCCCATCTCCCATCTCCCATCTCCCATCTCCCATCTCCCCTCTCCCATCTCCCATCTCCCATCTCCCATCTCCCATCTCCCATCTCCCATCTCCCATCTCCCATCTCCCATCTCCCATCTCACATCCCTCTCCCAATCTCCCATCTCCCCTCTCCCCCTCTCCCATCCTCCCCTCTCCCCTCTCCCATCTCCCATCCTCCCATCTCCCATCTCCCATCTCCCCCCATCTCCCATCTCCCATCTCCCCTCTCCCATCTCCCCATCTCCCCTCTCCCATCTCCCATCTCCCATCTCCCTCTCCCATCTCCCATCTCCCATCTCCCATCTCCCATCTCCCCTCTCCCATCTCCCATCTCCCCTCTCCCATCTCCCATCTCCCATCTCCCATCTCCCCTCTCCCCTCTCCCATCTCCCATCTCCCATCTCCCATCTCCCATCTCCCATCTCCCATCTCCCATCTCCCCTCTCCCATCTCCCCTCTCCCATCTCCCATCTCCCATCTCCCCTCTCCCATCTCCCATCTCCCATCTCCCATCTCCCATCTCCCATCTCCCATCTCCCATCTCCCCTCTCCCATCTCCCATCTCCCATCTCCCCTCTCCCCTCTCCCATCTCCCATCTCCCATCTCCCATCTCCCCTCTCCCATCTCCCATCTCCCATCTCCCCTCTCCCGTCTCCCATCTCCCCTCTCCCATCTCCCATCTCCCATCTCCCCTCTCCCCTCTCCCATCTCCCATCTCCCCTCTCCCATCTCCCATCTCCCATCTCCCATCTCCCATCTCCCCTCTCCCATCTCCCCTCTCCCATCTCCCATCTCCCATCTCCCATCTCCCCTCTCCCATCTCCCATCTCCCCTCTCCCATCTCCCATCTCCCATCTCCCATCTCCCATCTCCCCTCTCCCCCTCTCCCCTCTCCCATCTCCCATCTCCCCTCTCCCATCTCCATCTCCCATCTCCCATCTCCATCTCCCATCTCCCATCTCCCATCTCCCATCTCCCCTCTCCCATCTCCCATCTCCCATCTCCCATCTCCCATCTCCCATCTCCCATCTCCCATCTCCCATCTCCCATCTCCCCTCTCCCATCTCCCATCTCCCATCTCCCATCTCCCATCTCCCCTCTCCCATCTCCCATCTCCCCTCTCCCATCTCCCCTCTCCCATCTCCATCTCCCCTCTCCCCTCCCTCTCCCATCTCCCACTCCCCTCTCCCATCTCCCATCTCCCCTCTCCCATCTCCCATCTCCCATCTCCCCTCTCCCATCTCCCATCTCCCATCTCCCATCTCCCATCTCCCATCTCCCATCTCCCATCTCCCATCTCCCATCTCCCCTCTCCCATCTCCCCTCTCCCATCTCCCATCTCCCATCTCCCCTCTCCCATCTCCCATCTCCCATCTCCCATCTCCCATCTCCCATCTCCCATCTCCCATCTCCCATCTCCCATCTCCCCTCTCCCATCTTCCATCTCCCATCTCCCATCTCCTATCTCCCATCTCCCCTCTCCCGTCTCCCATCTCCCATCTCCCATCTCCCCTCTCCCCTCTCCCATCTCCCATCTCCCATCTCCCATCTCCCCTCTCCCATCTCCCATCTCCCATCTCCCCTCTCCCATCTCCCATCTCCCATCTCCCATCTCCCATCTCCCATCTCCCATCTCCCATCTCCCATCTCCCATCTCCCATCTCCCATCTCCCCTCTCCCATCTCCCCTCTCCCATCTCCCCTCTCCCCTCTCCCATCTCCCCTCTCCCATCTCCCATCTCCCATCTCCCATCTCCCATCTCCCATCTCCCATCTCCCATCTCCCCTCTCCCATCTCCCCTCTCCCCTCTCCCCTCTCCCATCTCCCATCTCCCCTCTCCCCTCTCCCTCTCCCATCTTCCCATCTCCCCTCTCCCCATCTCCCATCTCCCTCTCCCTCTCCCATCTCCCATCTCCCCTCTCCCATCTCCATCTCCACTCCTCCCATCTCCCATCTCCCTCTCCCATTCTCCCCTCTCCATCTCCCATCTCCCCTCTCCCAACTCCCATCTCCCCTCTCCCATCTCCCATCTCCCAATCTCCCATCTCCCCTCTCCCCCTCTCCCATCTCCCCTCTCCCCTTCTCCCCCCCCCCCACCCCCTCTCCCCATCTCCCATCTCCCATCTCCCATCTCCCTCTCCCCTCCCCTCTCCCCTCTCCCCTCTCCCATCTCCCTCTCCCATCTCCCATCTCCCATCTCCCCTCTCCCATCTCCCATCTCCCATCTCCCATCCTCCATCTCCCATCTCCCCTCTCCCATCTCCCCTCTCCCATCTTCCCCCTCTCCCTCTCCCATCTCCATCTCCCATCTCCCCTCCTCCCTATCTCCCATCTCCCATCTCCCATCTCCCATCCTCCATCTCCCATCTCCCCTCTCCCATCTCCCTTCCCATCTCCCATCTTCCCATCTCCCCTCTTCCCATCTCCCATCTCCCATCTCCCATCTCCCATCTCCATCTCCCATCTCCCATCTCCCATCTCCCCATCTCCCATCTCCCATCTCCCATCTCCCATCTCCCATCTCCCATCTCCCATCTCCCCTCTCCCATCTCCCATCTCCCATCTCCCATCTCCCCTCTCCCATCTCCCATCTCCCATCTCCCATCTCCCATCTCCCATCTCCCATCTCCCATCTCCCATCTCCCATCTCCCCTCTCCCATCTCCCCTCTCCCATCTCCCATCTCCCATCTCCCCTCTCCCATCTCCCATCTCCCATCTCCCATCTCCCATCTCCCATCTCCCCTCTCCCATCTCCCATCTCCCATCTCCCATCTCCCCTCTCCCATCTCCCATCTCCCCTCTCCCATCTCCCATCTCCCATCTCCCCTCTCCCCTCTCCCATCTCCCATCTCCCATCTCCCATCTCCCATCTCCCCTCTCCCATCTCCCCTCTCCCATCTCCCCTCTCCCATCTCCCATCTCCCATCTCCCATCTCCCCTCTCCCATCTCCCATCTCCCATCTCCCATCTCCCATCTCCCATCTCCCATCTCCCATCTCCCTCTCCCATCTCCCATCTCCATCTCCCATCTCCCCTCTCCCATCTCCCATCTCCCCTCTCCCCTCTCCCATCTCCCATCTCCCCTCTCCCATCTCCCATCTCCCATCTCCCATCTCCCATCTCCCATCTCCCATCTCCCATCTCCCATCTCCCATCTCCCATCTCCCATCTCCCATCTCCATCTCCCATCTCCCATCTCCCATCTCCCATCTCCCATCTCCCATCTCCCATCTCCCATCTCCCATCTCCCATCTCCCATCTCCCCTCTCCCATCTCCCATCTCCCCTCTCCCATCTCCCATCTCCCCTCTCCCATCTCCCATCTCCCATCTCCCCTCTCCCCTCTCCCATCTCCCATCTCCCATCTCCCATCTCCCATCTCCCATCTCCCCTCTCCCATCTCCCATCTCCCATCTCCCATCTCCCATCTCCCCTCTCCCATCTCCCCTCTCCCATCTCCCCTCTCCCATCTCCCATCTCCCATCTCCCATCTCCCATCTCCCATCTCCCATCTCCCCTCTCCCATCTCCCATCTCCCATCTCCCATCTCCCATCTCCCCTCTCCCATCTCCCCTCTCCCATCTCCCCTCTCCCATCTCCCATCTCCCATCTCCCATCTCCCATCTCCCATCTCCCATCTCCCATCTCCCCTCTCCCATCTCCCATCTCCCATCTCCCATCTCCCATCTCCCATCTCCCATCTCCCATCTCCCATCTCCCATCTCCCCTCTCCCATCTCCCATCTCCCCTCTCCCATCTCCCCTCTCCCATCTCCCATCTCCCCTCTCCCATCTCCCCTCTCCCATCTCCCATCTCCCATCTCCCATCTCCCATCTCCCATCTCCCATCTCCCATCTCCCATCTCCCATCTCCCCTCTCCCATCTCCCATCTCCCATCTCCCATCTCCCATCTCCCCTCTCCTATCTCCCATCTCCCATCTCCCATCTCCCATCTCCCCTCTCCCATCTCCCATCTCCCATCTCCCCTCTCCCATCTCCCATCTCCCATCTCCCATCTCCCATCTCCCATCTCCCATCTCCCATCTCCCATCTCCCATCTCCCATCTCCCATCTCCCCTCTCCCCTCTCCCATCTCCCATCTCCCCTCTCCCAACTCCCATCTCCCCTCTCCCATCTCCCATCTCCCATCTCCCCTCTCCCATCTCCCATCTCCCCTCTCCCATCTCCCATCTCCCCTCTCCCATCTCCCATCTCCCATCTCCCATCTCCCATCTCCCCTCTCCCATCTCCCCTCTCCCATCTCCCCTCTCCCATCTCCCCTCTCCCATCTCCCATCTCCCCTCTCCCATCTCCCCTCTCCCATCTCCCATCTCCCATCTCCCATCTCCCATCTCCCATCTCCCCTCTCCCATCTCCCCTCTCCCATCTCCCATCTCCCATCTCCCATCTCCCATCTCCCATCTCCCATCTCCCATCTCCCATCTCCCCTCTCCCATCTCCCATCTCCCATCTCCCATCTCCCATCTCCCCTCTCCCATCTCCCATCTCCCATCTCCCATCTCCCATCTCCCATCTCCCCTCTCCCATCTGCCATCTCCCATCTCCCATCTCCCATCTCCCCTCTCCCATCTCCCATCTCCCATCCCCCATCTCTGTCTCGCATACAAGTGTGTTTTGGGTCGACTCAAGACACATTCCCACTTGTCTGTCTGTCCTAGCCCAAACAGCTCTGCCCGAAACAGTTTTCAGACCAACTGGCTAATGGAATGAGCTGGGGCTCCATGCATGTCCTGTTAACATGCCCATGCCATCCCCATGCTTATTCCATCCCATTTCCATCCCTTACCCATGCCATGCCCCCTTGCCCCACAGGGATATCAGCCACAACGCTTTCTCAGGCGGCGTGGATGTGTTTTCACGCCTGCCTCGCATCTCCAACCTGTAAGCACCGTGCTAGTTCTCATCGTGCTCTTACAATTCGTGGTGAATGTGTTCACCACGTTCTCTTCAAGAGCGCCTCGTTTCACCCAAGTCGCACGCGCAGCTTTCCCGGCATCGCGAACCGCACGCTCCTCTAGTGTGGATTGAAATGGGTGCCATTCCCATCACTCGCCATGCCCATCACTCGCCATGCCCATCACTCGCCATGCCCATCACTCGCCATGCCCATCACTCGCCATGCCCATCACTCGCCATGCCCATCACTTGCTGTCCCACCTCCCATTCACCCCCAAGTCACTCTCGTTCCTGATACCTCAACTCCCCGCTTCCTCACTTGGCCTCCTTCCCATCAACTCCCACTTCTGCCTTTCTCGATGCCCTGCCCTACAGGAACATCGGATCGTGCAACTTCTCTGGCCCCTTCCTCTCGAATCTCACCTATGTCAACCTGTATGCAAATTCTCCTCCCCACACACGCCACCCAAGCTGCTCCCGCGCTCTCCTCGCTCTCCTCACTCTGCTCCCTGTGCAAACCACACACTCGCTGTCCACCTTCCTACCTCCTCTCCTCTCACCCTCTCCATACATCCTGTCCCACGTGCCCTCCCTCCCTTCCTTGTCCGCCCTATGTGACGCTCTTCCTCCGGCCTGCCTAAACCCTCCCCACTCCCCGCCCTCCGCCCTGCCCACCGTCCTCTCTGCAGCGACATATCCAACAACAGCTTCACGGGGCCCTTCCCCTCCGCCATGCTATCCGTGCCACTCTATAACAGCCTGTACGCATGCACGCATGCATGCATGCATGCATGTTTCCACCTGTACACCCACCTCACCCTGGGAAGTTGGGATACACTTACCACTTGATAACATGGCTCTGTCTTATCTTGATATGCCCAACAAGAATCATCCTCGCGTGTTATTTTTTTTTTCATATTATTACAAAATACTGGCTTATATGTTCCTCTCACTCTGCCTGTATCTTATGACCCACTTTACCCTGTGTGTGCTGCCTCCTCGCAGCAATCTTTCGGCCAACAAATTCTCAGGCCTGCTGCCATCACAGCTCGCATCCCTCGCATTCATCAAAAGCCTGTGAGGCTCTCTTTTCTTGTCAGAAGGTGTATATCGGCTTTACTCGTATGGTGTATGTTGAGTCAAATCAAGATTCTCCACCGTGTTCAACTTCACAATGCTCACAGCACCCAGCAGCATGCGAGTTGACTTTCAGGCGACTCAAGCGTCAGCATGCGAGTTGACTTTCAGGCGACTCAAGCGTCAGCATGCGAGTCTCTCCTTTCTCGTCGATGCCTGCCCATCCACACCACACCGCCATCGTGGCCACTTCTTTTCACCCGCTTGTGTGATCCAAAACGTTGAAGAGAACGTTTCCGTAATGTCCATGCTAAATCTCCTGGTATGTCCACATGGCATACCCATATGGCTGGTATATCTTTGCCCCCCACCTTTCCTCTCCCCACCCCTCTCAACGCATCCCTACCCCATCAGTGACATCTCTCACAATCAGTTCACTGGAGTGGTGCCCCCTGCCGTCTTCACCTTGCCTTCGCTAACGGCCCTGTAAGCCCACTCCCTTCCACCCTCGCCTCCCTCCCTTGCACCCTCGCCTCCCTCCCTTGCACCCTCGCCTCCCTCCCTTGCACCCTCGCCTCCCTCCCTTGCACCCTCGCCTCCCTCCCTTGCCTCTTTCCCCTCCATTCAGTCTTGCCGTCATTCCTTGCCTTTATACCCCTCCCTCCCACGCACCCCTATTCCCCCCACCAGCGACATCAGCAGCAACCAGCTCACTGGCTCCCTGCCGGCCTCCATTGCCCTCTCCACCTCTCTCAACCTCCTGTAAGCCATTCCCACCCACGCCCACCCACGGCAGCCCACCCATGCCCACCCATGATTTGCCCTTCCCAGCACTGCCTAGGCATGAAACAGGAGGCGGAGTGTGCCTGGGCAGGGGGGTTGGCATGGGAAGGACCATTCCCACACGTGTTATCTATCACAGCACCCATGCAACCATGCACCCATGCACCTATGCACCCATGCACCCATGCACCCATGCACCCAACCACCCATGCACCCATGCACCCATGCATGCACCCATGAACCCATGCACCAATGAGCCCATGCACCCATGCACCCATGCACCCATGCATGCACCCATGCACCCATGCATGCACCCATGCACCCATGCATGCACCCATGCACCCATGAACCCATGCACCCATGCACCCGTGCATGCACCCATGCACCCATGCATGCACCCATGCACCCATGAACCCATGCACCCATGCACCCATGCACCCATGCACCCATGCATGCACCCATGCACCCATGAACCCATGAACCCATGAACCCATGCACCCAAGCACCCATGAACCCATGAACCCATGAACCCATGAACCCATGCACCCAAGCACCCATGAACCCATGAACCCATGAACCCATGCACCCAAGCACCCATGAACCCATGAACCCATGCACCCATGCAAAGACCACAACCACATGTTGCATGGTACTGCTTCTTCAAGCCACGCCAGCACATGCGTGCATGTGCACCACGCTTCCCACATCTTCCACGATGGTCTGTCTGCGCATTAGATTACTGTTGTGAAGCGCCCACAATGTGTCGTCCCGCCTGCCTCCTCTGCCTCTTTCCTGCCCGCGTGTCGCTTGCATCCGCTTGTCGTCCACGCCTCGTCTCCACACTCCGTCATTCTCCTCCTCGCCCATTCCTTTCCTCCTCCCCCTCTCTACCCTTCGACCCCCCCCACTGCCAGCAACACCTCTGCCTCGGGGCTGACCTGCCCGGCAGACGGCAGCGAGTGTGTGGCGAAGCAGAGCAACGCCTCCTCCTTCTGCCGCCTCTGCTCCTCCTTCTGCTCCTCCTGCACGCCCCTTGAGCGTGAGTGGCGCCCATACTCTGCGTGCAGGTGCTTTCTTGCATGCACCCACGGATGCATCATGTCCACCTGTGGGTGCACACCAGCACAGCTACAAATGGCTGTCGGACTCAGAATGCCATGGTTGATTCACAACATATGCTGTGCATGCACGCAGCAGCATGACGTGTGTATTTGCAGGTGCGTGCATGTGCATGCATGCACCTCTTGTGTGCTGGGGTCTGAGTATGTGTGTGTCACTCCATGCATTGTTGCCCCACACCCCAGTGTCAGCACTCACGACAACATTGCCAACATCACCAGTGCCTCAGCCACCATCTGCTTCCACCCAGACTCCTCCTGCCCCTTCTCCTTCCAAGCCTGCTTCTCGCCTTTCCATGCCCACTGCTGCTGCTCTCAGCCTCTCTGCTGCTGCTGCTGCGGTTCTCTCGCTCCTTGTGTTCACTGTTTAAGAGCACCTTCTGCACATATCTGCTTCTCGACATACCTTCGGGCAGTACAAGGAAGCTGATGGTGTCGCCGTGTGCCACATCACCCTCGCGACTTTGCACGCACTCCGCAAGCCGGAAAGAGCGTCGAATGAGATGTCGCCGTAGACTGAGAGATGTGATTGGGGGGGAGAGACTCATTAGATAAGAGGCTGGCATGATAGGGAGGGAGCTATGGTGGGAACCTGCTCAATTTATTTGCGTGTTCTCAGTAACAACATCCTTCTTGTTTTGTGCATTTATCCAAATTATTAGCAGTTTCAAAACTCTGACCGTGTTATATTTCGTCTAAGTGGATTGTCATGTCTATCAGGTAAAAAACTATAGATCGTGATAGTCCTAAAAAACACGGCCCTTCATTCTCCACTACTTATGACTCTGCTCTTACCGAGGATTTCGACACACCATCACTTCACAGCTCACGGGATTATCCTTGCCGCAAGTCACGCAAGAACTTCGCAGGCCAGAGCTAACTCCCTCCCGCCCTCCGACAGAGTGGTCTACTACCGTCACCCTTGTCGAGTCTTTCGTCACAGCCCTTTGACAAATCTCAATTGAGAATTCTCCAAAGCCGCTCACATGGAAGCTCTCTCGCACGCCATCGCGCGCCCGTCACGGTCCGGCCTCCCACCAGCCGCCATTGGCGTCAGAAGTAACCGCGTAAGCTCCGCCTTAGCCGCTCCCTCGTGGTCGCCTCCGCGCCTGCTCCTGCGGGATCCACGACGGGTCCTCTCGGAAAGTTTTCCGTCGTTGTCATTACCCTATTCGCTAACGTTCGCCAGGGGGCCGCGCGCCATACCGGCCGGCAATCGCGTCGGTGGCGGAAACCGTAGAGGGAGCAGCAGCGGCGGGAATGGTCATAGGAGACTCTGCGCGCGCAACAGCACTGGCGCAATGAGCGAGGGGGAGCAGCAGCGCGCGGGTGTTAGGTTTCCGCTTCCGCGGAGAGGATTATGGCGCGCGGAGGCGGCGGGGGGAGCGGGCGGAAGGCGCGCTGTGCTCGCGCGGTCGTACCGGTGGAGCGACGACGACGTGGTGGCGTTTGGCGGAGGTGTGGAGGGAAAGTTCGAGGAAGCTGTGGCGCTGTTCAACGAAGGGCAATTCTACAAGTGCGTGCGGGCTGAGAGGGGGGCGAAAGCGGGGGGAAGGGGAAGAGAAACGGGGAAGGTGCGGTGGAGGGACTGGGAGACAGAAATGAGTTGAGGGCGTCAGATAATGAATTGTGGGTGTGGGACTGAAGGGGGTCGATATGAATTGGTAGACATGAATTGTGAAGGCCCGATATTGCTGATACCATTGACAAGCAATAGGTCACTTTCATGTGCCATCCATGTGTAGTCCTGTTGGGTCTCCGTGCCGTCTGCTTGGGGTGAATGGAGGTGGGATGCTGCATGAGTAACACTCTCCTTTTCATGCTGCTTGTGCGTTGGGGAATGATGTGTGGGATACGGGGCATGATGCATGGTGCATGGTGCATGGTGCATGGTGCATTGTGCATTGTGCATTGTGCATGGTGCATGGTGCATGGTGCATTGTGCATTGTGCATTGTGCATTGTGCATTGTGCATTGTGCATTGTGCATTGTGCATTGTGCATTGTGCATTGTGCATTGTGCATTGTGCATTGTGCATTGTGCATTGTGCATTGTGCATTGTGCATTGTGCATTGTGCATTGTGCATTGTGCATTGTGCATTGTGCATTGTGCATTGTGCATTGTGCATTGTGCATTGTGATGCATGGGACATGGCGCATGGCAGGTGCCATGACCTACTGGAGGAGATGTGGCATCAGTCAGCGGAGCCGCAGCGAGGCATGCTGCACGGGCTGCTGCAGTGCGCTGTGGGCATGGTGCATCTGCTCAACCAGGTGGGCATGGTGCATCTGCTCAACCAGGTGGGCATGGTGCATCTGCTCAACCAGGTGTGCCGCCCCATAACATGACACCCATGCATGCATGTCCGCACCGGGCGGCACTCATTGGCAAGGCATGTTCATTCTGACATGCATGGTTGGAACATGGTTAGAACCCACGGAGTCATCGCCGCTGCTTCATCTCCTTTGTACCTCACAGTTATGTCGGCCACGTGTCACCGCCCCCTTCCCCATGACAGCCTCCCTTCCTGTTCTATCTTCCCCTTCTAACGGCCTTCAAAAGCCCTCCCACGTCCTCCACCCACTCGCAGAACCACAGTGGGGCCATGGTGGAGTCTGGCGAGGGGGTGAACAAGCTGCGTTTACTTTTGAGACGACTCAAGAGTCATCTTCCTTCCCCACACCCCCCACCCACCCACTCCCAGAACCACAGCGGAGCCATGATGGAGTTTGGCGAGGGGGTGAACAAGCTGCGGCGCGCCATCGCCACCACGGGGGGCGGGGGCCCCTCGGGCAGCTTTGCAGCGTTTGAGGCGGAGGCGGGCGCTGTGCTGGAGTTCATCTACAACACTCAGCTCGAGTTTGCCGCTTGTGAGTGCCTGGGGGATGCTTCCGAGGCTTTGTGCTTCTGAGGCTCGTCAAAGGGATGAGAGGCGGGTGCTGTTTTGGAGTCCATGTACACCACTCAGCTCGGGTTTGCCGCCTGTGAGTGCCAGGGGGCTTTTCTGACGCTTGCCATGTACTGTCGACTGATTCTGGGCGCATTTGAGGCTCGGAGAGGTCACCTCCCTCCCTTCCACACACACCCCTCCCTCCCACGCACGCAACCCCACCCCCCCCCCCTCCCCCCCTCCCCCCCTCCCTCCCAACCCTCCCGGCCTTGCATGTTCCGAGTTGGAGTGTGTGACAATGGACGGGTCAGCAGAAAGTTACTCTTTACTGGGCGACTACGGAGCAGGGCAGCAGCTCTACCGCGTCCACATCAACCCTGCCTTCCTCCCTCCATTTTCCCCTGCTCTCGCATCAACTCCCCCCCTCCCCCGCCAGGTTCTGAGGTGGAGTGCGTGACAATGGACGGGTCAGCAGAAAGCTACTCTCTGCTGGGCGACTACGGGGCAGGGCAGCAGCTGTACCGCATCCGCACGGACCCCACCACACAGCACCGCTGCCTTGAGTTCTGCTCGCTGCTGCCCTTCCACCAGGCTGTAGTGGGGGGCGGTGCAGGGAGTTGGAGTGAGAGTGATGGGGAGGGGGGAGGGGGGGTGAGGGCGGGGGTGACGAGGGCGTCGGTGCCGCTGCCACGGCTGACAGCCACAGAGGAAGAGCTTAAAAGCCTCGCGTGGTGAGGGGGGGCAGGAAAGGACTTTTGAGGCGCCTCAAAAGTCGGTGCCGCTGCCACGGCTGACTGCGACAGAGGAAGAGCTTAAGAGCCTCGCGTGGTGAGGGGGAGGGAAAGGCGGTTGGCACTGGTAGCCAGTGTCATTCCCGGCCCGGCCAGGTGAGGTTAGGGTAGGAGGGCCCTGGCCTTGGGTGGGTTGTTTGTTTGGTCCATGGGTGAATGGAGTGGAGGCAGTTGAGGGAGAGGGCGGGTTTGGAGGGTAGGGCGGGTTTGGAGGGTAGGGCGGGTTTGGAGGGTAGGGGGCCGCGTGCTGCTCACGCGATCCAGCCTCTACTGCACTGACACCACGAATTCACGAATGCATGTTCTTTCATGTTTTGGTGGCTGCATTTAGTGCCAGGAAAATATTGGTATGGTATGAACCTTCATTATTACTATATGGTGGCCTGGTGTTGTACATAAAAGTACGCCAAATCCATACCTAAATCAGCGTTATGCAGATCAGCTGCCCACACAGAACAACCTTTCAGGACAGCTTTGTGCTGAGCAGCTGCAGGGTTGCTTGAAACGCTTTGGGGCATGCACAACACTGAATACTGAATGGAGTGGGACCCCTCGTTCGACCCCATGATAGAGTACGTTTGCTTGTTTCCCATGCCACCAACAGCACAGCACCAAACCACATTGAACTATCGAACCACACTACTCTGAATCGAGCAGGCTCATTCTGCGGGACATCGAGTTGAATCGAGCCGAATGGAATGGAATACTACCGTACCATACAAATAGCCTATGTATACTGTTCGTTATGCCTGGCGAGTGGAGGGCGATTTGGAGAGGATGGAAAGAACGGTCTTGATGGCTGGTATGCTGTCACATGCTTGGGCCTGCAGCAGGGGGGGGGGGGGAATGAGGACAGAGGGAAGGAAGAGGGGAGAGTTGGCATGGCAGAGTGCTGGCAGTAACAGGAAGGAGAGTAAAGAGGGTCATGGTGCTGGGAGTAGGTTTCCAGATGCACTCTCTGCCATGCACAGCACACATGCACACACACACACACGCACACATGCACACACGCACACACGCACACACGCACACACACACACACGCACACACGCACGCACGCACGCACGCACGCACGCACGCACGCACGCACGCAGCAGCACAGCAAGCTCACCATGAGTCTGTCTGCTGATCCCTGTATCTGAAACGCTGCCTCCATCTCACGGTCCACAAACCGCCACGTGTCATGGAAGTCTGTGGAAGGAGGCAGGGCACGAGGGAGGGAGGGAGGGAGGGAGGGAGGGAGGGAGGGAGGGAGGGAGGGAGGGAGAAGAGAGAGAAAGAGAGATGGAGGGGAGCGGGCGGGGGAGGGGGAGGGTGGAAGGGAGGGGACCAGGAGATGGGAGGGAGAAAGAACTGATGTGAAGGAATGCGAATTGAGCTACACTGCTTGCCAACCGACCCTAGCAGCAGCAGCAGGGCTCGCCCCCAGCCACAGCCACAAGCCTTTACGCATGCACACAGCCCTCCAAAACCTTCCGATAAGTCAGTGCTCCGCCCCTTGGAAATCAAGCCAATGAGCAAGCGGACCTCAGAAGCAGCAGAAAGGGCATGCTCGATGGTGGTGTGGGCAGAGGAGAGCACCGCACATGCTTGCACATACTCGCACATGCTCGCACATGCTCGCACATGCTTGCACATGCTTGCACATACTCGCACATGCTCGCACATGCTTGCACATGCTTGCACATGCTCGCACATGCTCGCACATCCCAGCACAAGCCCCCACCTGGCGAGAAGTCAGTGAGCATGTGAACCTCAGCGGCAGCATAAGCGGAGCCGAGCAGCACACGGTATGCCAGCAGCTGTGCATCGCTGCACCTCACGCCCACCGCACTCCACATGCTCGCTGCCAGCTGCCGCCGCTGCTGCAACGCCTCGCATGCATTGGACGGCCACGCCTGGTGGTTGGGGGGGAGGGGGCCGGGAGAAGGTGGGTTTTTTTGTGGACTCTGATTTCACCTCTGCCTCAACGCTTGGCATGCGTTGGGCGGCCGCGCCTGGTGGTTGGTGGGGAGGGTTTGGGATGTGGGGGGACACGGTGGTGGGGTGGGGTGGGGTGGGATGGGTGGGATATGCACGAAAGGACGATGTAAGCGGATTGGGAAAGGTGGAAGGAAGCAGGTGGGGGAAGGAGAAGTGAGCATGGGAAGAAGACAGAGGGAGGGACAAGAGGGTGGAGGGCAGCAGGGTGAGAGGCATGTGAGTCATGCTCTGGACTGTAGACAATGAACTTTGACAGTTCATTGCGCGAGAGAGCAGCATCTCCACCAGAGGTCCCACACGCCCTACATGCCCCACATGCCGCACACGCCCCACATGCCTCTCACGGCTCGTGCACCCCCCGTGCTCCCCATTCACACAGGCACTGGCCGCCTGCTGCCGTTGCTCACCTGGATGGCCAGCGCCTGCGCCCACGAGGACGTGTAGGGCGCCTGCAGGCGCAGGCGCGTGCGAATGGCCGCTGCCATGCGACTCTGCAGCGCCAACGAGTCCCCCTCCTCGTACCTGCCCCCACACGCCTGCCCTCCACTGCTGCTGCTGCTGTGGCTGTGGGGGGTGTGACCAGGAGCAGCAGTGGCGACGGCGATGGGTGTGTGGGGGAACTCCGCCTCAAACTGCCTGCGACACCGGTCCATGAAGAACTGGCCGGGGCGAAGTGGGGAAACGGAGGGTGGATGAGGTGGGGGGAGGGGAGGGAGTGGGGATGGGAGAGGGGGAATCGAAAGGGGTGTTTTGAAGGAAGTAACAGGGCGGAAGGTGAGTCAGGGCAAGGCAGGGCAAAGGAGCGGGGTTGGGTTAGGGTGGTGCGGATGGGAGGGAAGGAGAGGCAGGAAGAATGGTCCTTGATGACGAAAGCAAGCCTTCCTAGTTCCACCAACCACCCCGCCCCGTCATCACCCCCCTCACCCCGCCCCATCATCGCCCCCTGCACCTCGCCCATTCCCGCAGTCCTGCAGACCACTCCCCCTTGTCACCAACCCCTAACCCCCGGGCAGGCACTCCTCCTCCCAGCACTACCATCCCATCCCGGAACGCACCTCCACCAGGTGCGCCTCCCCCCGGGGCAGCATTCCCAGCACGGAGGGCGAGATGCCGTTGTCCCTGGCGCCTGCTATCAGCGCCGCACTGCTCCACCCTAGCGTGGGCTGAAGGGGACCGGTACGAGCGGGTGGTTGGTTGGGATGTGCATGGATGGATGCAGACACGGGAAGGCCGAGAAAGGGAGGGAGGGAGAGGGGGGGTAAGACAGAAGGGGGAGTATGTGGGTGGGGGAGAGGGGGGTAAGAGACAGAAGAGCGAGAGTGGGGTTGGGAGGAGGAGGGGGGGGTAAGACAGGGGAGAGTGGGGTTGGGAGGGAGGGGTGTAAGACAGAAGGGAGAGAGGGAGGTTAGGAGGTAGGGGGTTAAGACAGAAGGGGGAGAGGGGGGTTGGGAGGAAGGGGGGCAGAACGGGAGCAAGCAGGTAGCGCAGCAGGCGAGGACTGGGCGGGAGTACGGAAGATCACAGAGGGACAAATGGACGATCAGTGTGTGACCATGCTGCTCCTCCGACAGTGACTGGCAGACGATTGCCTATGCGGGGTATCTGCACGGCCAGGGGCAAATCAAGCAGGGATTCTATCCACATGTGGGCGTGCTTTTAGTCCAGACCAGTCCAGAACAGTCCAGAACAGTCCAGAACAGTCCCCCTGACGTGTCTCACCACATGAGTCAGCGCAGCTTGCAGAACTGCAGCCTTCACCGCGTATCCATCCTCGCCACTGCTGCTGCTGCTGCTGCTGCTGCTGCTGCTGCTGCTGGTCCCTGCAGAACCGCTGGCGGCAGAAGAGGCAGAAGCGTGCGTGTTGTGCGCGTCACGGCCCCCCTGCGACCCAGCAGCTCCTCCGGCAGGGGAGGTGTGAGGGTCAGCGGATGCACCTGTTGGGGAGGGAAGGAGGACGGCGGGTTGGCATGCGCGCAGGGAGGAAGGCATGCGGGGACGGGGTGGAAACGTTACTGTTGCTATCAGCTACATTCCATTATCCATACTACACTTGCCCTCCCGGTTATGGCATGATCTGTATTGGCTTCATCGGTGGTAAGCTCAAAGCTTGCGTTCTAGATACGGCAGGCGACAAACTGGTTTCCAGCGACACAGAAACTGAAGTGTGCACATGAGAGAAACGAGAGCAAAGAGAGAACGTGCATGCACGCTAGGCGCAGGGATAAAAAATCGCACATCCCATGCATGATGTCAAAGGACCTTTCCGGTGCTGCGTAGCGCCTCACTCCTGGAGTGGGGTGCTTTTCTGTAGGCCGCTGCGCACAGCCTACCTGTCCCAGACGCGCCCTCACTGCTTCCCCTGGGATCGCCGCCGCCACTTGTAACGAGCGCGGTAGCGGACGTATGGAGAAGCGCCACGTGGCGCAACACAGTCGACGGCTTCTGCTGGAAATCTGAATTACGTGGGCCAGACGTGAGGTCATGTGAGGGTAGGACGTGAGAGGAAGACAGACGAAGCGCGCCGATAGTGCTGCTGGTTACCGCGTTACACGCAAAATGGCTTCGCGAAGGCCTGATTGACACCCTGCGATCAGATCCAGCGAATTTCCCCAGATCGTATCGCGATCCATTCGCTAGCCTTTCATCGTCGGCACGTGGCAACGGCAGCTGCGCAAGCATTTCAGCTTCGCAGTCTTTCCCGTAGCGCCTCGCTTCCGCGCCGCACCCGGATACGGACTCAGAAACGATCGTATCGAATCTGTGGATGTGACTTGCGGGTTGAGATGCCGTGCACTGGAGAGGAGGATTCGCCAAGCGCGCGGCGATTACCGGAAGGAAAGCCTTTGGAGCTGCGTCTCGCGTAAGCGCTCGTATCGCTGACGCCATGGCTGCCGTGCTGCGCGGTTCACGGAATGACTGATTTGGTCTGTCAAGGTGGATTGAACGTGAGGCGACGAAAGGAGAGCCAAGTTGTTTGTGCTGGCGCGATCAAGAATTCACTGTTCTTCCTCGTGCGAGCAGGCAGGAACGTTTTCATTCGCGCGCCAATCCTCAAGCAACGCGTGTTCTTCGCTACACCACTCAAAAGGCATTTCAGCTGTGTGGCGGCTTGTAACGGATTTTTTCAGCTCGCATCGCGATGACTTGTTGCCATAAGCGACTCTACATTCTTGGAAAGAAAAAAAAATACTTAAATGAACAAGACGTGGAGAGAAGCCCAACAACTTGATAATTGTGAAATGTGAGGAGGATGGTTACAGAAAACAAACTCACGCAGCTGCCACCAGTTCCTCCGTACGACCCAGACTATGGATATCCATCCTGTTGCTGCTTGGACGCCCAGGCAGCAGCATGGGAGCAGGCATGCATGAGGGGCGAGGACTGGTATTCACGAGTGACATGACATGGCGGAGGATGTGTGTGGAGAGAAAGCACGCCGTGCAGGCAGCTGGGGGAGGTGGACCGTTACCAGTGCTTGCACTGCCATTACTGCCACTCGTTGCCGTGGCTACTGCTCCCTGGTTTTGCTGGTGCATAGGCGGGTTCGGAGGAAGCAGTGGGTTGTGCACAGCGGAGGTTGATTCTAGGAAGTGGAAGAGGCTGGAGTGCTGCTGGGAGGGGTGAGGTGCGGTGGGAAGGTTGGAAGAGAGACCTAAATGTGAGGAAACAGAGGCGGACTCAATCACCAAATAGGAAGGCGAAATGGAGGGTATGCATAATGCACATTTCTACCAAAACATCATTCGATCGAAAGAGCAAAACGCACAGAAGCAAACGCTACCAGTCGCCATGGAAGCTTGGCACGCGCACACACGGTGCAGAAATAAGCACCCCTTCTCACCTTGCCCTCCTCTTCATCATGAGCAGAATCAGCACCATTGCCATCGCCAACATGAACATCAACATTGCTGCGTGTGGAGGAGGACAGGGAGCCATTGCCGTAGCAGGCGAGGCAGGGAAGGGGCTCTGGGGAGCGGTAGAGGCAGAGCGCGCCGAGCTGCTGGTGGGGCGCCAGCTGAATGAGCGGGTCCCAGCTGTGGGTGGTGCAGGGGGGAGGGCATGGTGGATGAGATGAACAGGGTGAAGTTGGGGAATCCAGGGGCGTTGAGAGAGAGAGGGGGAGACGACAGGAGGATGTGAAAAGGAAAGGAGACGCAGACAGATGATGTTGCGTTGCATGATGGCAAGGCATGGAGTGGCAAGAAATGGGGTGTCATGGAATGGGGTAGGAAGGCATGGGTTCGCGCTAATGCGGGTGAATGCATGACTCACACATCAGCAATGCTGTACGCCAGGTGACTGTGCTCTGCAGCAAAGGTCAGATGCCGCCGCTGTGCTGCACTGCGTGCTCCAACTGCCCTGCAGGGAAGCACACAGGCAGCGAGACACACACACACACACACACACACACACACACACACACACACACACACACACACACACAGCAGGCAGGCAGCATGGGGCTTGAGCGAAGGGATGAGATTAACGCAACACACAAGTCACACGGGTTTCAGGTTCCAGTGCAGCAGGAAGCGCCGAGGACACAAGGTATGCATAGAATTTGCAAGCTCAAAGCGACAACAGCAGGTAGGAATCGGGCAATATGAGCTTCATAGGTGCTTTCCTGCAAGCCGGTGTGCAGGCAGATAACACACGCCCCTCACCTCACACGCCCCTGCAGTCCCGTCGCCACACAGCCAGTCACACACATACGGAAAAACTCACGAAAAGGCAAGCACCGGCAGCACAAGAGACCCCGAGAATAGAGCGTCCTCATCATCATCAGCAGAGGTGGTAGTGTGATCAGGGGAGGAGAGAGGGGGAGTAGCAGAGAGGGGAATCGGGGCAGAGGAGAAAGCAGCAGAGGCAAGAACCGCCAGGCCTCCTCCTAGACTGTGACCTGTGGATGGGGCGGAGGAGTGGAGGAAACGGGATGCAGACGGGTGGGTTGGGTGGGGGGAGGGGAACGGCAGGTGGGAAATGGATTGAGTGCTTGATGTAAGAAGATTGTCGACTTGGTCAGCAGCATGTTGCAGCATGTGCCATTAAGTGCATACACATCCTCACTCACTAGCACGCTCATCCGCACACCTCCCCACCCGCACCCCAGGCAATCCCAGCAGCAGCATAGCACGACATGCAACCCTTACGGGACAGGGCAGGGCGTCACCTGTGAGGAGAACAGGGGAGTTGTGACCATATTCAGAGAGCACCTGTGGCCGTGCAGTGCGGTTGAGAGTGGGAGTGGGAGTGAGAGTGAGTGAGCGAGGACAAGGCACGGGCAGAGGCGCGGAGATGAAACACGCACAGGATAGGATCGGTTCGGAGGCATTTCTACGAAACGTGAAACAGTATATGTGTGTTGGTGCGAGAGACAATGCTGGTCACTGTCACAAACTCGCCCTCAAGTTTCTGGAATCTCGAAATTATAAAGAGGAGCCAGACAGGGGAACCGGAAGTGCATGTACCACACGCAAGGCGCGTCCCCCTTGCTTTCCCCCCAACCTCTGTTTCCCCCATTTCCCTTTTTCTCTCCACCATCCCTCCTCTCTTCCCCCCACTGAAATTCCCTTGCTCTCTTTCCCTCATCGTTCCCCCCTGCCCCCGTCTCCCTCCCCCTCACCTTCCCCACGAGCGCCAGTGCCTGGGAGTAGTAGTCAAGGGTGGCGGGGGGGAAGAGCGCGCAGAAGGCAGGGGGGGGCGCGGAGGGGTCCCCCCACAGCAGGTAATCCGCGCACAGGTCCGCCTGCTGCTGCCGCTGCTGCTGCTCGGGGGAGGGGTACGGCGGGGAGGGGGAGGGAGAGGGCGGATGCGGAGGAGGGGGAGGAGGCGGGTGGGGCGTGAAGTTGGCGAGGAGGGAGCCTCGGAAGGCAATGACGATGCGGGGAGACGGGGGAGAGGCGGAGGAAGAGGCGGAGGGTGCAAGAGAGGAGGGCACTGTTGATGGCGGGGACTGTGGAGAAACATCACCTCCTGCTCCGCCTGTCATTGGGCCCCCGCCTGACAACGTCCCCTCTCTTGATGCTGCATCTCCCTCGGCTGCTGCGCTGCCCTCTGAACCGCGCCCTGCCTCGTTGCATGGCGTGTCCTCCTGCACAAGCGGGCACGGTGGGGTTGGGCAGAGAGCGGACCAGGCAGGTGAGCGGTTGCAATGTGCCACATGCAGTACAGTTGGACAGATCGCTGGCAGGTGTGCGGATGAGGGGTGACGGGACGCGAAGAGGCGGAGAGATAGATGAAGGAAGAGCGAGTGGGAGCAGGGGAAACGGATAAATTGCAAGAGTGAAAATAGCGAGTCTGATGGTTCGCCTTCATCCATCCCCTCCCCCGTTCCATCCGAACCAATCTCGAGGGTGCCCCTCCCCACAAAGCACTCTTCCCCCACTAGCCATGCGCCAAATTCCCCACTACCCGCGCGTCCCCCCCACCTCGAACACGAGCGCGTGCATGCCGCCGTCGATCGGCGCAACGGGCGGAACTTTCTCCGCCAGCCGCCACCCCGCCACCTCCTTCACGGGCGCGAACGACCACCGGTACGCGTTCGCCGCCAGCTGCGCCATCGGCGCAACCAGCGCGCGGTAATCCGCGTCGCTCGCCGTCGGCAGTCGCGATAGTTCCTCCCATGACGATCTCTCACCGGCCGATCCCTGTCGCGCACCGCATCCGCGTTGCGGAGATCCTTCTTCGCGCGCGGACTCCCGTGCCAGTGATTCTGCGGAGACCGGATCGCGGGGCGCGGGGAGGGGAACGGCGGAGGCGGGCGGACGAGGGTGTGGGTGCGGTGGGTGAGCGGAGGGGTTGGTGGGAACAATGAAGGAGGAGTCGCCGCGGAGACAAATCGCGGAGAGGATGAGGAGGAAAATGAGGGAGGAAAGGAGGGGAGACGAGAGAGGGGAGCGGAGAATATTGAAAGGTCTATGTGGTGGCGACGAGAAGCGGGTACGCGGAGATGGGGACGCGGAGAGCGTAGCAGATGCGCTGGCGGCGCTCCGAGCAGCCATCGGGACAGCTTCACATGGCGGACACTGGAAGACGGGGAGCTTTGGGGAGGACGGGCTGGGGGGGATCGCGGACTCTAGGTGGATGATGAGAGGAAATGACAAATCGCCTTGTTTGTTTGTTTCCAATTCCTTTCGGCAGTGGTTTTGACCGCGTGGGTGCAATGAATCGAGGTAGCGAGGATTCCACTAAGGTGTCAAACGAGTACAAAATGTGAGAGAAGGCATGAGCGAACATTTATACGCGAAACTTGCAAACGGTAACGCGGTGCGTGCGAGCTAGCTAGTGCTACGCTGGCAGCGAGGCTCGGGCTAGTCCCGAAGCGTAGGCCGACACGGCCGGGCCAGCAGTGCAAGGTTTGGTGAAACAGTGCGCGCGAAGTCGGCGAAGCCCCATTAGCAGTAACGGGCGAACAACGGCTGCTGCTGTACGCGATGTTGCAGGGCGCGCTAAGGAATGTCGAGAAAATTCCTTACACTTGCAGGGCAGGGTGGTTTTCGATGTTGGCCAGGGGCACCCAGCTATCCTCAGTTGGCGTGCGGTCCTTCCAGCGAAAGAGGAATTCAATCCTCCTGATTCCTGTGGGGTGTCGAATCCGATGGCTCCGGATTTTTTCGGGCTCGATGATCGGCTCCGATGCATGGCGAGTCATGGATGGCGGGCGGTGACGAGGCAGTTTGTCAGATTACAATTGTATCTCTAGGCTACAGTAGGGTCACTCCTTAGTGAGTACAACACTTTAGGGTTAGGTTTCCCCTACTTGTACTCACCTCTTGCCTAGTTCAATCATCCATTCCTAGTTCTATTCTTGACATGTTATCAGAGTAGGAACCGTTCCTACATGGGCCCACCGTTCCGCCTAGTGGTAGCGCCACGCCCTACACAATAGCCAGCGTGCTGGCGCCCCTAGCTCTCACTGTCGCGACCCTTGCAGCCCGTGCGCTGCCCCTGCGACCGCGCTGCCCCTGCAGCCGTGCTCGCCCCTACGACCGTGCTGCCCCTGCAGCCGTGCTCGCCCCTGCTACCGTGCTGCCCCTGCAGCCGCGCCTGCCCCTGTGGCCCGCGCGCTGCCCCTGCAGCCCGTACGACGCTCCTGCAGCCCGTACGTCGCCCCTGCAGCCCGTTCACGCTGCCCTTGCAGCCCGTTCACGCTGCCCCTGCAGCACGTTCACGCTGCCCCTGCAGCCCGTTCACGCTGCCCCTGCAGCCCGTTCACGCTGCCCCTGCAGCCCGCGCGCGGACCTACCGATCCGCGCGGCCCCTGCAGCCCGCGCGTCACCCCTGGAGCCCGCGCGCCGCCTCTGCGGCCCGTTCGCGCCGCCCCTACAGCTCGCGCGCGGACCTGCCGAGCCGCGCGTCGCCTCTGCAGCCCGTCCGCGCGGCCCCTGCAGCCCGCGCGTCGCCCCTGGAGCCCGCGCGCTGCCTCTGCGGCCCGTTCGCGCCGCCCCTACAGCTCGCGCGTGGACCTGCTGAGCCGCGCGGCCCCTGCAGCCCGTACGAGCTGCCCTTGCAGCCAGCGCGGCGCCCCTGCAGCCCGCGCGTCGCCCCTACAGCCCGCACACCGCCCCTGGAGCCCGTGTGCCCTGCCCTGCGCCAGCGCCCTGCCCTGCGCCTGCGCCCTGCCCTGCGCCAGCACCCTGCCCTGCGCCAGCGCCCTGCTATACCCTAAATATAATAAAATTGTTTATAAAAAAAAAAAAAGGGGCCCTAGGTGCTTCTGCCCTAGGAGCTACTGCCTACTACTGCCCTGCTCTGGCCGCGCGCCGCCCTGCTGTTACTACTGCTGCTGCTGCTACTCGTGCTACTGCTGCTGCTGGTGGAGGTGCTGCTGGGAGTGCAGGAGGTGCTGCTGGCGCTGTAGGAGCTGGAGGTGCTGGACCTACTCCTGACCGTCACTGTCTGTCATGGCCACTACCGCGGCAGTTGCTGCAGCCAGGGGTGGCCAGCAGCGGGCACTGCTTCTCCCGGACGACCCCACCCCTCGGCAGCTTCGTGAGTGGGTTATTCAGCGAGGTCGTCCTGGTGGTGGAGGTTATCGTTCTGTTAGGACTGCTGCTCTAGGTGCTAGTGAGTCTGCTGCCGCTCCAGGTGCTAGTGAGTCTGCTGCAGCTCTAGGTGCCCGTGCATCTACCGACGCTCTAGGTGCTAGTGCGTCTACTACCATAGGTCATGCCTCAGATGAGGTCTTGCACACTTTCACGCTTGACTCAGGCGCGTCACGTTGCTTCTTTCGTGATTGCACCACAGTCACACCACTCACATCATCTGTCCCAGTCTCACTGGCTGACCCCTCTGGGGGCCCAGTGGTTGCGAGAGCCTCCACGGTCCTCCCTTGTCCAGCAGTCCCCTCCGGCTCTTTGTCAGGTCTCCACCTCCCCACGTTCTCAACGAACTTGGTGAGCAACGCTGCCATTCAGGATGTCTGGGTTGATACCTTTATTCCTGGAGGGCTGCGTGTGGCGATTTGTACGTGCTCCCAGACTGGCCGTCACCTGGCTACGTTCACTCGACAGCCTGGGTCTAGTCTGTACACACTGACCACTGCGTCTGCACAGGTGGCTGAGTCAGGTCAGGTAGCTGCGTCGAGTCGAGCGTCTGCGTCAGGGCAGTTAGCTGCGTCTTGCTCGTGCAGAGTACTCACGCACGAGACTCAGCGCTGGCACCACCGTCTTGGTCACCCCTCCCTGCAGCGTCTGCGTGGCATGCACTCCCGGCTCCTGGTCACTGGCCTCCCTGAGACCCTGCCCCCCCTCCCGCGCTCACTTGCGCCGCCGTGCCTTCCTTGCGTCGAGGGGCGGCAGCGCGCCGCTCCTCACTCCTCCGAGTTTCCTCCGACCACTGCTCCTCTGCAGACTCTCCACCTGGACGTGTGGAGCCCGGCCCCCGTCGGTGGGACGGACAAAGAGCGCTGCTTCCTGCTGGTTGTTGACGACTACACACGCCACACCACAGTCTTCCCCTTGCGTCGCAAGGCGGACGTCAGCGGTGTTTTGATCCCCTGGATCCGTGCTACTCGTCTCCAGCTACACGAGCGCTTTCAGCAGGACTTCCCAGTCCTGCGTCTGCACTCTGACAGGGGTGGTGAGTTCTCTTCTGGCGACCTTGAGACGTTCTACTAGGATGAGGGCATCGCCCAGTCGTTCACGCTTCCGGCCTCTCCGCAGCAAAATGGGATCGCTGAGCGTCGCATTGGCCTGATCATGGAGGTTGCTCATACCTCCATGATCCATTCGGCTGCTCCCCATTTCCTGTGGCCGTTTGCAGTCTGATACGCCGTGCATCAGCTCAACCTCTGGCCCCGTGTCTCTACTCCAGAAACCTCGCCCACACTCCGTTGGACGGGACAGCCTGGTGATGCGTCGTCGTTTCGGGTCTGGGTCACGCTCTCCCTTGTTCGCGATACCACAACGAGCAAGCTCTCTCCTCGTACTCTCCGCTGTGTTTTCCTAGTCTTCCCCACCGGCGCTCCACCCTGGCAGTTCTACCACCCTGCCTCGCGTCGTGTTCTGTCCTCTCAGGACGTCACCTTTGACGAGTCGGTCTGTTACTACCGACTTCACCCGCATGCGTCCCACCCGGTCCCCCTTGCACCCCTCTTCCTGGTACCAGTCCCCCCCCCGGTAGACCCCCTCCCCCCACAGGGTCCTGCTCCCTCAGGTGTGTCCCAGGTAGACCCACCCCCCTTGGATGAGCCAGTTGAGATCTCTTCTGACTCCTCTGACTCACCTGAGGGGGGTGACGCCGTAGCCGACGACACGGCGACCACTCGCCGCACTCCTCGCTTGGCGACCCCCCCGGGTTCCCGCCACGGCCGTCTTCGCCGCCTCCACAGCCTGCTGCTGTGGACTCTGGAGCTGAGACTACTGGAGCTGGGACTGGGGGTGGTGAGTCTGGGGGTGCCCGCTCTCCTCGTCTGGCTACCCCCCCCGGGCTCCCACCTCTGCCGTCTTCGCCGCCTCTGCAGCCTACTGCTGTGGACACTGGAGCAAAGACTGAGGGTACTGAGCCTGAGGGTGCTGGGACTGAGGGTGTTGAGCCTGAGGGTGCTGACTCTGGGGGTGCTGCGAGTCCTACTGGAGGTACTAGAGGTACTACTGGTGCTGGAGGTACTGGAGCTGCTGCTGGTGCTTCTGGTGCTCCTACCACTACTGGAGGTACTGGAGCTGGACAGCAACCGCAGCCTGCTCTACTCGAGACGCTCTCGCCACAGGCGATTCGTGCGTGGGTCGTTCTGCGAGGCAGTCCTGGTGGTGGAGGGTACGGTCCTGCTGGAGCTGGAGCTACTAGTCCAGGAGGTGCTGCTGGTGCTGGAGGTGCTGGAGGTACTACTGGAGGTACTAGAGGTGCTGCTGGTGCAGGAGGTACTGGAGCTGCTGGTGCTGGGGGTACTGGAGCTGCTGCTGGTGCTGGAGGTACTGGAGCTGCTAGTACTGGAGGTGCTGCCGGTGCTGGAGGTATTGGAGCTGGAGGTACTGGAGCTGCTGGTGCTGGAGGTACTACTGTTACTGGAGGTGCTGGAGCTACTGGCACTGGAGGTGCTGGTGCTACTGGTGCTGGAGCT